CAGAACCTCACTGGGAGGCCTTGGAGCCACCCCTGCCCCGCAGGCTTTGCTCAGGGCCCTGGAAATGCAGACAAACCCATTCCTGAGGCCGCAGCCCCAGCCCCAGGCAGGCTCCCAGCCGGCTCCCCTCCCCAGAGGAGCCCTCAGCCGCCCTCCCGCGTTTGCTCCTGGAGCAGGATCCCAGCTCTTCACCCCTCCCTCTGTGACCACAGCGCCTGCCATCCTGCCGCCCCGCCGAGTGCCACGCAGGACCGTGGCCTCCACGCCGCTGGAACACGAGGGCCGGCTCTTCCCCGAACCCCGCAGAGGCCACGGCCTTGTCCAAGCCGGAGGTCCACAGACCAGGAGGGAAAAGAACAGTTCGCCGCACTTCACACCCCTTCCCATCAGGGGCTGCTTCTCCGGAGCCACAGCCCCGAGCACTGGGCCTCGGGCGTCAGGGCGCTCACCGGAGGCTCATGTTGGCCCTGTTCCCACTGCCAGCGTCCCTCTCTTCACCCTCCTCTTCCTACAGCCCGCGCCCCAAGCTTGGTCGGCCATACCGCCCATCCTCCCCAACAGCAGCTCCAGGGCCGCCTCACCAGCAGCAGAGCCAGTGCCTGGGTGCTGAGTCCACGCAGGCCTAACACTCAGAGGAGAGAGAGACACACACCCCAAATCCCAGGCCTCCGCTCCTGCCTCACCCCCCCCCCTCCTTACCAGGACAAGGCCACTGCCTGGCTGCTCCTGGGGGAGGCCCTTGGCCTGGGCAGGTGAGTATGCAAATCTGAATGTAAATTATATGCAAATCCAGGGCCTGCCCTTGAGTTCCAGGCACCCCCCCACCCTGCATCTCTGCTGCCTGTGGCTCACCCCACTCAGGCCTGGTGCCCCCGGGAATACACGGTGCTCTGGGCTGAGAAAGCACTCGGGGGTGGGGGCTCTCCTCTCAGCTGCTTCAAATGTCCCCCAACGAGATTCTGATGGAGGGAAGAATCTCCCAGCCTGGAGCTATACCCCGAAAAACAAAACGTTCTCTGAATACCCACCCTCCCTTCAACTCATCCACAAACAAAATCATCCTCCACCAAGCCCGGGGGTGCCCAGTGGAACCGTGGGTACCAAGCATGGGTTTCCTGAAGCCGTGGAGAAGGTAAGGGGGCTTGAGGTCCGCACCCCTTTGTCAAAGGCCAAGAGCCCACCAGATGCTGGGGCAGACCCCCACCCTGTGTCCGGGGGCTCCCAGCCTCTCTGTTTGGGGGCTTGCTTCTTTAGCAAAACATCTCTAGGCCAAACTGGAGCTTGCATGCCCACCGCCTTCCTCCCCACCCGCCAATTTAGGAAACATAAGCCTCTCCCCTCCTGGGATCTGCTAACCTAGTGCCGCCTTCGGGTCAACTGCTCACTTGTTTGTTTCTAGCTGAGCTCCCCATTCTGCTGCGGAAATATAGGCAAGGCAGCTGCCTGATGCCCGGAAGCATGCCGCATCGGAGAGGTTTGTGGGCACCATGGCCGTTCCTTCTCGCCCGTGTAATTCTAGCGCCAGAGCCGCTGCCCACCGCCCCACCCCAGTGCTTACTGGGCCTTCACCTGCTTCCCCTGAGTTGCATTTGCCATTTCAAGATTTTGAAACACATCCCCCCTACTCCCCCTCTTTTAATTAGACACTGAACAGAGTGTTAGAGATTTGCTTAATGGTTCGACGAAGGCTTTTAATTTGGTATTCTCAAGAGAGAAGAACCACGAGTCCCCATTGGAGAGGTTGGGGTGGGAAATGAAAAAAATCAATGCAACCCATTACTTTGGCTTTTAGAAAACAGGAATTTTACTGCCGGGAAGCTGGTCTTTTACACAGTAAAAATGCAAATGCCGGCGACACAGATGCTGGCACGCGGGATGGAAGCGGAGAGAGCCGCGCCGGGGTTCATCTGGCTGCCCAAGCCGGGGTTTGTTTTGGCGATAATAAGACCGTTATTGAAGACTCCATAACCGATTATTAAAATATCTTCCCAGTTTAGTTCTGGGGAATCGGTCTGAGCTCAGTCTTCATCCAAAAAAAAAAAAAAAAAGGTTTCGAGAGGAATGGAAATAACAGAAGCTTAAAACACATTCAATCACCGCTTAATTCCGTCCAGAGGATGAGCCATCTCCTCGTTTCCTCTCCTCTGGCTCTGCCTCCTCCCGCTCCTCACAGATGGACGTACAAATTATTGCAGGAGGGTATTGTTTTCTGAAACAGGCTTGAACATCACATTTACATTTTCTTTGGTGCCGCGGGGGTGGCTGGCAACGGGAGAGAAAAATACTCCAAACCCTATCTCCCCTGCTCTCACTGCATCCCATCTCCCCCAGCCGCTTCTGCCCCTCTCCCTCCCACGTCACCCCAAGCGAACAGGCCCCGGGGACCAACCTGGCACCTAAGACCCAATCAAGGCTCAAAGCAAATGAAAGGCCTGCCTGGCGAGGCGCCCGGCCCAGCGCAGAGGCTGGAGCAGCTGCATGGCAGGCGCGCCAGGGCTCTGCAGGCCAAAGAGCCACTCAGGTGCTGCCTCACCTGCACCTCCAACCTCCCAGGCCGACCTAGGACAGGGGCAACTTCCTTCTCGAGTTGGAAAGGATGCTGCCCCTGGGCATCCTGCTGTCCTCTGGGCCTTCTCCGCCCCCACCTCCATCTGCTGCCTCCTATCGAGTAGCGAGTAGCGGAGCTTCATTTATTAATGCCCCGCTTCTGGGAGGGGGAGGGGGAGGGGCATCGGGGTTCTGCTCAGGGGCCTCCACTCCTGGGAATGGGCTGCTCGGGAGGAGGTCCCCAGAAAGGGGGTGGGTGGTTGAGGACAAAGCTGGGTCCCGGTGTGCAGGGCTCAGGCCCCGATTTCTCACCAGACAAAATGGAAAAGGGGTGGGGGCGAGAGGGAACCCGAGAGAGAAGCTGCCGCTCCTCACCTTATGTATTTTTAATATTAATGTAATTAAAACTGCAAGCCGAGCCAGCCTGCGGGGGCGGGGGAGGCAGGAAGAGCCTGGGAGAGGGAGGCTGGGTGGTGTGTGTAGCGGGGTGTGGGGGGAACTTGAACGCTAGAAGGCCTTCTCGCTCCCGAAAGTGGGACGGAGGGTGCTGTGCAGGCGACAAGGTGCTAGCCAACCGGGCCCAGGCTTGGTGTGGCCCCCAGCGGCCCCACTGCTCTGAGAAACTCACCTTGTCCACCACTGGAAGGCCACCCCCCCGCCCCCCCTCACCTGCCCCTCACCAGGCCTCCAGGCAAACCCCAGCAGTGCCTTGGCCTTCAGTCTGGCTTTGACCAGGAGTATTGACAAATGGAATAGGGGTTACCTCCCCCCCCCAAAGCCAGGAGCCGCAGCAACCAGCTACAGCAGGTTGGGGACGCCGCACCCCTGGGGCCTCTGCACCGAGGACTGGACCCCCTGGAGCGCCCGCCATTGGCTGGACTGCCCTTCCCCCATCGCTCAGGGGTCAAGAGTGGTGGCTCCTCCCGGGTCACCACCTGGGCAAAGGGGGGCGGGGAGAAACCGCCCCCAGGCGGAAAGGAGAAAAGTTGGAGGGCTGAACCCGGGAAGCGGAGCGCACAGCGTGTGTGCTTCCCCGCACAAGGGCGTGGAGTTCGGCCGCTGGTCTCCCGCCATCTGCGCGCCCCGGGCACGTCCTCTACCAAAGCCTGGAAGCCCGGCCGCCAACGGCCTGGCCCCGACTCGGTGCCCAGGCGCTCTGGTCGGAGACCTCTGCCCCCTTCCAACTGCCGGTCCCGGCCACTTGGAGGGTCAGGTGCGCAGCGCCAGCAGGTCTGGGCACGCCGGACACCTGGACCCGCCCTAGCAACGCTTCCTCTGCCGGACAGCGACACGCCCCACCCCTCCGGCCCCATCCCCGCTCCGGACGGAAGACTGGCCCGTGTCCGCTGACCGGCTGACTGGCACGCAGCGGAGACTCTGGCGCCTTGGAGCGCGCTGCTCGGTAGCTAAGGCGGAGCCGCGGAGCCCGGGTGCGCGGGGAGGGGGAAGGGGGAGGGGGAGGGGGAGGGGGAGGGGAGCTGGGAGGGCGGCCTCTGGGTTTGGAGAACAACTTGCTCCCCTGGGGACCCCAGCTCTCGGGACCCCAGCTCTTCCGCTGAGCATCGAGCCAGCTCCACTGGGCGCCTTTCGGGCGGCGCAGGGGTCCGGCGGCGGAGGCGCGCGGGGGCGAAGGTGGAGTAGCCACCGGGTCCGAGGCCGGAGGAAGCGAGGGCTCCCGTGGACACCCCCCGCCCGAGGACCCCGCCACTCGGAGGGCAACTCAGAGGGCACGCCGGGGTCCCAGCGCCCCCAAGCCGCAGGAAGCGGCCCGGGAGCTGGGGAGGGGTCGGGGCAGAACTGCGCCTGGCGAGGAGCGGGGGGGAGGGGAGGGGCTCGGCCCCCCCCCCCCTCACCTCGACACCAAAACGGCAGGAGCGGTGGCCAGCGGAGCGGCCCGGGGCGGACTCTCACCCGGCCCCTCTCCGGGTGCTCGCCCTGTCCCCGCTGCCACCCACCCAGGGCCGGGCAGCGGGTCGGTCCCCGGACATCTGGAGCCCGCCCGGCACCCCGCTTGGCACCCCACCCGGCACCCCGCCTGGCCGTCAGCGCGCGCGCTCCCGGCGCTGCCCCCGCCGCCGGCGGCTCGCGCGGGCTCACCTTTGTGCCAAGAGTCCAGGAGCAGGAGGAAAGTTACCAGCCACATGCCATACAGAGGCCGGTTCCCCGGGGATGGTCCTTGGCCGCGTGCGGCAGCGCCTCTCCCCGCTCCGCGCTCGCAGCCGCCCGACTCCGCGCCGCTCTCTGCTCCTCGCCGAGCGCTCGGCGGCTCCTCCCTCCCGGCTCCCCGCTCCTGTCATCCGCGGGGCTGGGCCAGGCGCCGCTCTCCCCGCCCCCCCGCGGCACCCCGGGGGTAGCGCCGCCCAAGTCGGCCCCCAGACCCGCACGCACAGGGTCGAGGACCCGGACATAGGACCCTGCCCGGGGTTCGCCGTCTGGGAGGCAAGGGGTCTCTGCCACCCGCGGGCTCAGAGCTGCGGGCGCACACAGGAGTGTGTCATAGGAGTGCCAAGAGCCCACCGTGCTCGTGCCAAGATGCCCGGATCTCCCGGCCGTCACCTGGGGACAGTGCTCTGTGCCTCCTCCAGGCCAGTTTACCCCATTGGGTGGCGGGGGGGGGGGTCTCCATAAAATCCAGACTAAGATCCGTGGGTGCCGTCTGCGCTCTCTCCACCCCACAGCTCAAAGCTGCTGCCTTCCAGCCCTGTCACCTCTGCAGGTCAGCCTGGGGGCCCGGGCCCGCCCCTCCGGACCCGCTGGGATTCTCTGGGCACTGCACATGGGCTTGTTTAGACAGTATCTGCGTCCTTCACTGTCTGCTCATTTCCTGCATCTTCCTCCTGCATCTTCAAGACCTACCACCCCCAGCTTTCTCACCAAACAAAAACGGGCTTCTCCCTTAGACCAACCTGCATGAAGTTGGTGCAGGATGGAACAGGCGTGAGTGAGGGTATCCTCGCAAGTACAAAGTAAATGTTGAGCGCCTGCTGAGTGCCAGACACTGGGCTGGCTCGGGGCCCAAGGCTGGCTGAGTCAGGTTGGCGGTGGGAGCTGGCAAGGGTGAGAAGCCGTCCTGGCCCCGGGCAGGGTCCAGAAAAGGGATCCCAGCGGCTCTGAGAACGGATAAGCCGGGCCTGGGCCTGGGCCTCCCCTCCTTGAGGGTAACAGAGGCCACCTGGATGCGCCCAACGCTTCCTGGCGTGCTTCTGACCCAGCTCTCTGCGGTGTTCGGGGAGGGGGTGTGAAGGGAGGAGGGGAGAGAGGGTGCTGTTTAGCTCCATCTGACAGAGGAAGACAATTTACTTCCCCAAAATGTCTTGCCCAAGATCAGAGAAGGGAACTAGGACTCCGCATCCCCAGGTTTTGCCAAGATAACCTAGAGATTTTAACTAAAACTTTAAAGTGCGTTTACTTTTAAGATGTGTTAAAATATACAGAACGTAAAACCCACATTTCAACTGTTCTCAAGTGGCATTTAGTGCATCTGCATTGTTGTGCCACCATCATCACTACCCATTTCCGAAACGTTTTCATCATCAGAAACTAGTCGTTCAACATCCTCCCCTCCTCCCACCCCATAACCTCTCATCTGCTTTTATGTCTATGACTTTGGCTATTCTAGGTAGCTCGTAATCTCAGTGGAATCATATTGTCCTGTCTTATTCCACTTAGCGTACTGTCTTCACGGGCCACCCACGTTCCAGCATGGAGAAGGAATGTGTCTTCACGGGCCATCCAGGTTCCAACATGGAGCAGAATCGCACTCCTCTTCATGGCTGAGTACTATTCCACTGTGTGCAGAGACCACATTTTGTTGATCTGTCCATTTGTGAATGGACACTCCCCTTTTGGGTTGTTGTGAATGATGCGGCTCTGACCGTGAGTATCTCTTCCTTTGAATCCTGCTTCCGGGACCTGGAGGTGAAATTGCTGGATCCTATGGTAATCCTAGTTTTAACTTCCTGAGGAACTGCCAGGCGCATTTGCTCTTTCTGTATAACATTTTAAGAGAACATCTCAAGGGCTCCCACTACAGCTGCTCCCTGTGACCCTCACAATATCTGTTGAAGCTTTGTCACCCCCTTTTAAAACAGGTAAGCACATCGAGGCTTCGCTTGTTCAAGGTCACTTCCGTTTGTATCGCAAGCAAGACTAGAACCCAGGTCTCCCGGCTCCGGGGCAGAGCTGCTGGCTCTCCACTGTGCTGTCCCTGCTGTAGGACGCTGTCACCACCCTAGAGTGGAGGCTTTGTCCCTAGCGCTTTGTACTCTGTGCACGGGGAGCGAACAAACCCAGGCAGACGGTGTTTGGGATGACCAGCCGAAGCCTCTCTTTACATATAGAGAAACCGGCCCGAAGGAGGAAGAGGGAGGAAGCGACGGGCCATCCTCCCCTCCTGTCCCTTCCCCTCTAAAGGGAAGGTTGCTGAAAAGAATCCAGTTAAGCCTGTTGACCCAGAGCACCTGGTCAGGCCGAGCCTAAAATACACGGCCAAGTCGGAAGGTGCAAGGGCTGCTGTCTGCTGGGGCGGGTGGCGCTGAGTGAGCCTGCGCGTGCCAGCCCAGCTGCTCCTGCCCCACGGGCTGGAGGGAGAGAGGAGGCCCTCTGCCTCCACGCACCTGAAGTGCATCCTACAACCTGTTCCTGCCATGCTGCTTACACCTGGGCCTTTAAGGGACCACTGCGCTGTGCAAAGGGCCAAGCGTTCCCTGAGGCGGGGTCACTCACCGTGTGCGGGACCACAGTCTGGCTGTCCCTAAAGAGGAGGCTTGTATGTGGGAGCAGGGAGCCTTTCTGCTGTCACGGTGAAGGGTGCGGCTTGGGGGTCAGACAGAGCTGAGATCTCAGCCAAGTCTGGCGCTGCGTGCCCTTGGGGAAGTCATGGGTACCAAGCCCGATCCCTCGTTCCCTCGCCTGTGAACTGGGGACTGCTGTGAGGATTCAATACTTCAAGCCCAGGGCCAGCCCATTGTAAGCACAGCTGAATACTCACTACAGGTCCTGGCTTTGCTCTGGGGACCTGGCCTGGGGGGTGGGGGGATGGGGAGAGGAGGAGGCGAGGATGACCTACTACACTCCTGCTGTGACAAGGCCAGCGCCAAGGCAAGAAGCTGCAGAGACCAGGAGGAGGCGCACTTGAGGCTGCAGAGCAGGGGGAGATGGCCAGCAGGGAGGACCCAAAACAGGCAGCCCTCATGTTTAAGAAACATATCTTTAAGGAACATATCTTTGAAAGTGACAGTCTGGTTTATTGTGTTCGGAAGTCCCCTCTTAACTGGAATTTACCGAGAGAGCTAGCGTGGCAACGTCAGGAGAATCCGCAAGGGGACCCAAGGGAAAGGGCGCCGGGTGGGAGCGTGGGTGCTCCACCCACCCCGCCCTGAGCCCGGTGCGCTCCCACAGCTGACGTGGGAGGCTTTTTATTTTGATAGAAGGGACAGTTCCTGCACAGTCTCACACTGGATGGAAGCCCTCACACCCACACACGCACACCGCGGCGAGAGCAAACACCGTCGCCAGCAGGCATAATGTGAACGTAAACACGCAACGCCAGCACACCTGCTCGCACGTGAGTTCCACCCAACCCAGACATCCCGCACTGCCACCTACGCGCATGTCCTGGCATTGTGTTCGCAAAGCCTCAGATCTGCGGGTTCCTTTCTAGGATGGACGGGCCAGCTGTTTGAAAACAGTGGTCAGCCCTGCCCGGTGTGGCTCAGTGGCTGAGCATCGTCCTGTGCACCAAAAGGTTGATGGTTTGATTCCGATCTCTCTCTCTCTCTCTCTCTCTCTCTCTCTCCTTCCTTTCTCTCAAAACAAAAAAATCAATAAAAACATTTTTAAAAAATTTAAAAAACACACACATACAAACAACAAAATCCACAGTGATCACTTTCAATATTTTGTTGCACCAGAATAGAATGTTGGCTGATGATGTGGTTGGTGTGTGTGTGTGTGTGTGTGTGTGTGTGTGTGTGTTACCAATGCAGCTGAAGCAGCAACATGAAGGCCTGGGAGGTGACCCCTCTCCAATTCAGGTTAATCATGGATATTGGGGTATTATTTTGTCATGTTATATTAGGTCTAGAGTCATCATGAGAAACAACAGCTATTTTTACTGTTTAACTCATACAACAGCTTATATATTTTGGATATTTCTCGTCAAAAACAAAGCCTTCATACGTGTTCTGAAATTCATATATATATGCTTTTCATAAAAGAAGTCAATACGGACCAGGTCAGTGTTAAAAACTTAACATTTGGGGTTGTGTAGCTAATTCAGAGTTGACCCTCTTATACTTATTCATTGATTGAGGAGGAGAAAACAAATAAGAATTTCCCTGCTTGTTTTTTTTTTAATCTGTAATTTATTTTAATGTTATAGAAGGAGTCCTGGCCTACAAATCAGAAATTCTGGGTTCTAGTCTCACCTTTGCCACCTTAGCCCACCGGTGACCCTGGATGAGTCACTTTCCTTTTCTGGGCCTCAGTGTCCTCGCGAGTAACATGAGAGATTTGAGCTAGAGGATGAGCAAGGTCCTCTCCTAAACTGGAAATAGGGTGAGCACTAACAAACACACACATGTCCACCCCGTGTACGGTGTGTGTGTGTGTCCCCACAGACCTATGCATGTTCTCTAATGCCGGCAAAGAAACAGAAATGCAAATGTTCATGCACAGACACCTAGAAGCAAACAGACACACACAAAACACAGAAATAAGCAGCTTCTGCTTCAAATGCACGCACACGTACCTGAAATCCTTCGTTCTTCTAGAGCAGTGGTTCTCAACCTTCCTAATGCCGCGACCCTTTAATCCAGTTCCTCATGTTGTGGTGACCCCCAATTTCATTGTTACAAATTGAACATAATTAAAGCATAGTGATTCCTCACAAAAACAATATGTAATTATATATGTGTTTTCCGATGGTCTTAGGCGACCCCTGTGAAAGGGTCATTCGACCCCCCAAAGGGGTCGCGACCCACAGGTTGAGAACCGCTGTTCTAGAGACAGGACGAGTCGTTGCATTCCTAGACTGATCCCATCTAAAAAGGTGTGCGTGCCCTGGCCGGTGCTCAACTAGTTGCAACATCGTCTCCTTATGTCAGGGTTGCGGGCTCCATCCCTGGTCAGGGCACATGTAGGAATCAACCAATGAATGCATAAGTAAGTGGAACAACAAATCCATCTCTCCCCCCTCTTCCTCTCTTTCTCTAAAATCAATTTTAAAAATTTTATAAGGGCCCTAGTTTGGCTCAGTGGATAGAGTGTCGGCCTGTGGACTGAAGGGTCCTGGGTTGGATTCCGGTCAGGGCACATGCCCGGGTTGCGGGCTTGATCCCCAGTGTGGGGCGTGCAGGAGGCAGCCGATCATGATTCTCTCTCATCATTGATGCTTCTATCTCTCCCTCTCCCCTTCCTCTCTGAAATCAATTTAAAAAATGTATATTAAAAAGGCATAGGTGTCATTAAATTCCCTAAGCGCTCCTTACCCAAACCCTAGACGCCCAGGTTGGCGGACTTTGGCTGTGTCTCCCCTCAGCGGTTTGGATGGGAGCGTCCTGGTTCTAAGCTCACTGAGTTCAAAGCCCTGAGGCTCCTCCTGCACAGATGGGGTCTCTAGGGCCCTTGTTCAGCCCACGGTCGGGAGGGTTAGCCAGGGAGGCTGGGTTCCCTCAGTCACAGTGGCCTCTCTCCCCTGTCTGTCCTCTCCTAGCTCTCAGCTCTGACGCTGGCCTCGAAGTCGGCCCTGAGAGGCTCCATGAAGTCCCGATCCTGGAGGCGATGCTCGAAGCCGCCGTGCTCTGGAGGGCAGGGGCTGGGGGACCTGAACTGAGAGAGAGAAACGGAACTCCCTGAGCGGGAGCTAACTCGCTGCCTCCCAGGTGCTCCTGCAGCGCCTCTGACCACACACTCACAAACGTGTTTGTCAGATTGCGGTGAAGGAGCTTCCGTCTGGAGAAGCTGCCCGCAGTGTTTCTCTTTTTTCTCCACCTGTGCGAGCCTTCCCGCGGCGGCCACAGCTCCTGCCAGTCCGCCAGCCCTGCCGCCCTGCCTGCCCGACACCAGCGTGGCCGTGGCTCACGCCTGGTCCTGCATGTGGTTGTTCCCCGCACGTCTCATTCAACTCGGAGCCCTTTCATCCTGTCCCTGCAGAGCCTGGCCGGTGGTCGCGGCACAAGGCCACTCAGCACATGACTGAACGATGGGCGAGCTCACCGGCCAGGGTTGCAAAGACCTGAGGCCGATGTCGTGGGCCATGCCTTCCAGAGGGAGGTCCTTTAACAGAACCAGAGCCTCAGCCGGCACCGCCCTCGCCTTCATCGTTGTCATCGTCACGGCTGCTGGGCCCCGAAGGGTTCATGTTTTCTTCCATTTCTGACCCTCACTCGAAATAGTCAGTTTGGGCCAGAGTCTGCTTTGCTGGTTACACAGATGAAGAAACTGCAGCTCAAAGAGGTTTGCGAGGTGCCCGGAGCGTAGGCTCCAGGAGCCGGGGGGCAGGCACCCGCACGCTCAGGTGTTACAGGAAACTGGGCCGATGCTGCTGCCGAACTGCCATCCATCCTGATGCTCCTCTTCTCCACTTGTGGGCCTGGTTGCATTTGGGGGTGACTGGGGGCCCCCCTGGAGCGAGTGAGTGGCCCTGGGATCGGTGACAGGGCCCGGGAGGGGCTGTGTGCGACTGCCACCTCCTGGGCAGCTCACTCGGCGCCGCCCACACGCTACAGGGCCAGGCTGTGTCGCCATATGACCACGGCCCGATGGTGCGCTCACACATTTAACGCTGGTTAAATGCTTCCAGAGACCAGGGGCTCCGCCCACTCAGGAGTCCGCGCTGGCTGCACTGTCTGTGATGAGGCACACGCTCTTCTCTTCACTGAACCCCCTGCCCGGCCCTGTGGCCCTCAGAGGGTGGGCCCAACCCCTGCCAGATGCCGGCTTTTCCAATATTTGAGAGCAGCCACCGCGGCCGCACCTTCCAGGCTCCCTTCCTCGCCCGTCAGCACCGTTCTGGTGTGATGTCCAGCCCTTCCCCTCGCTGTGCACACAGCCCACTCCAGCAGGAGCTCCCGGAGACGGGGTGGCCCCAGGCCAGGGCTGGAGCCCAAGGACAGGAATGCCCCCTCTGGCCCCTACCCCTGCCCAAGGCGCTGTGGCTTTGGGGGGCTGGTGTGCCAGTGAAGCGGGGCCTCTTTCCCATGACCGGCCACTGGGCGGGCCTCAGCCCTGCACCTGAGGGCCGCTGGGGGAGAGGGCATGATGGAATGCAGCATGGTGGGTCTGCCGGAGGTGACTGCAGGGTCAGGGGGCACCATTACCACGCCCTGAGGAGCCCTGCCCGGCCCGAGGTCCTGGCTCGGCCCAGAGGAGGGGACAGACTCAGCTGAGAACAGTCTGAGGAGTGTGAGGTCCCCGTTTCAGGCCACAAATGCACG